TCTTCAATTTAAGTCTGAATTTGGCAATAAGGAGTTCATGATCTGAGCCACAGCCAGCTCCCAGTTTTGTTTTTTGCTGATTGTATACAGCTTCTCCATCTTTGACTGCAAAGAATATAATCAATCTGATTTGGGTGTTGACCATCTGGTGTTGTCCATGTGCGGAGTCTTCTCTTGTGTTGTTGGAAGAGGGTGTTTGGTATTACCAGTGCGTTCTCTTGGCAGAACTCTATTAGTCTTTGCCCTGCTTCATCCTGTACTGCAAGGCCAAATTTGCTTGTTAGTCCAGGTGTTTCTTGACTTCCTACTTTTGCATTCCAGTCCCCTCTAATGAAAAGGACATCTTTTTTGAGTGTTAGTTCTAGAAGGTCTTGTAGGTCTTCATAGTACCTTTCAACTTCAGCCTCTTCAGCATTACTGGTCAGGGCATAGACTTGAATTACTGTGATGTTAAATGGTTTGCCTTGAAAATGAACAGAGATCATTCTGTCGTTTTTGAGATTGCATCCACATACTGCATTTTGGATTCTTTTGTTGACTATGATGGCTACTCCATTTCTTCTAAGGAATTCTTGCCCACAGTAGTAGATATAATGGTCATCTGAGTTAAATTCACCCATTCCAGTCCATTTTAGTTTGCTGATTCCTAAAATGTCAATGTTCACTCTTGCCATCTCATTTGACCACTTGCAATTTGCCTTCATTCATGGACTTATGAATCAATATTGCAGATTCCTATGCAATATTGCTCTTTACAGCATCGGACCTTACTTCCATCACCAGTCACATCCACAACTGGGTGTTGTTTTTGCTTTGGCTCTGTCTCTTCATTCTTCCTGGAGTTAGTTCTCCACATCAGTGGAGAACAGCGGAGAACACTGATCTCCGCCATAATAAAGTGTCTAATCAAAGGAGTATTACAAGGGATGATGAAGCATCAGGAAACCATTACCAGAGTCGGTAAAAAGCTAGAAACTTAAAGGCCACTCAACAAGAACTTTGGGCATGGAAGAATTCAGTTACTAACAAAACATAGTGAAGCTGGGTTGGGCAGAGATAAATACCTTGACCACCTCTCACTCTACTATCTTCCAGTCTCCTGGTGCTTCTCATTGGTCAAACCTAACTGGAAACCCAGAGCAAATGAAGATTGAGTGATGGCAAACTCCAGAAGTCAACCTCCCGAGATGCACATCAAGGCAGGAAAGAGTAGAGAATGAATCCAGATGGAGGATCAGTGAAAAATAACCAGCAGACAAGCACAGTACCTACTATCTCCTTCATTCACTTAAACAGTATTTTGCATGCCAGGAACTATTCTCCAGATACAGGGGATCATAAGACAGGAAAAGATGCTCATTTTCATGGTGTTTTCATTCTCTTTGGGAAGTCAGATGGTAACACAATATCCACACAACACTATTTCAAATGGTAGATGCAATGAAGGAAAGGAGTATTATAACTCTAACATATATGAGGCAATGGCAGAAGACCTTAAAGTGAATAAGAAGAAAGGAATAACAAGAAAGCTTTTTAAGAGGAAGGGGAAGAGTACTGAAACAAGAGATCAGCCGAGAAAGACTGTAAGCTTCTGAAGTTGAAACCAGTTTGGTTTATTCAAGAGATAGGAGGCCATTGTGACTGAAGGAAGAGTCATAGGAGAGGAAGTAGGAATGTAGGCAAAGGCTAGATCATAATGGTCTTTGTAGGCCAGGCAAGGAGTTGGGTGTTTTTGCTAAAGCAACAGAAAGGTTTTAGGCAGAGGGTGGGAAGTTAGGGTGTTTGCAGGTTAAGACATATCTAATTTCCATTTGTAAAATATAACTTTCATAATTTCACAATTTTCACAGTTTTTTGAAAAATAAATTTTAGTGGGACAAGAATGGAAATGTCCCATTATAGTTTACACTGCCCTGACCAGAGTTCCCATCTTCAGAAGTGGTATTTCCAAAGTGGTGGCACTGTCTGGATCACGATGGGCACTTGATACAAGACTGGCTCAACCACAGGCTTGTTGGCAGCCTATGACATGGCTTAGAGCTATGAGGTCTTGCAACTGAATTGTGCTCCTCTGAAATGCAGATTATAGGATAAGAAGAGGGTTAATTAGCACTCAGTGCTGTGAGAACTGATCAAAGAGGCAGAGAAAAACAGATACAATGGGAAGAAAACAACTTTTCTTTAGAGGTGTCTCAGTTCCTAATAGCTGCTCATATATGTATATAAATACTCCTGCTTCCAACCCTTTTAATTAAAGTGGCTTTTTGATCTCTCTTTCTTGCATGCAAAATAATTTAATGAGTACAGTAGTGTCCCCAAGGTGTTACTCTTCTTCTCATTCACTAAGAAGTGACAAAGATTTACTCTGAGACAAACAACAAAACCCCTCAAATTTCAGTTACTTAAAACAACCAAAGTTGCCTTCTCACTCACTTTAAATAGCCCATCACAAGGTGGATGCAACACTATTCTGCATTATCCTTCCAAGACCAAGATTAGTAGAGCAAATACTCTGGAGCATTGTTGATTGCCATGGCAAAGAGGAAAAGAGTTCTGGAAGGTCTTGCATCAACAATTAAATGCTGTGTTCATAATTCAAGGGCAGAATGAGTCATGTATCTCATCCCAACCGCAAGGAGGCTGGGAAATGCAATTTTACCATGAACCTGAAAGACAACAGAAGATATTTGGCACATCCACCACCATTCACTCATCCAAACCATGGCTTAACTGCTGCCTATATACCAATGTCAAAATTTCTAGGAGAGATGCCCCATTTTCTCTTTATCCACATTGTCAACCAACTACCAATATGCCACAACTGGATGATATCATAGACATTTCCAGTTTCACCTTTCTCACAAACTTTCTGTACTTTTTCTCTTGGTCATTGGCTCCATTATCTATCCACTACCTCAAATAGAAAACCCAGGTATCAGCTTTGACTCTTTCTCTCTCCTAACACCCAATCGGTGGCCAAGCCTACAGCTTCTAATTTATCCCCATCCTACTAACTCCATGACCATTACCTTACTTTAGTCCTTAATGGATTCTTGCCCAAACAATTCTGTTAGCCTCCTGTCTGGCTTTCTTACCCTCTCCTGTAAACTGTAACTTATTCATTCAGAGAAACTTATAAAGAGTGCTTACTGTTTCTTTCCTTATTAAGATTAAATAAGTAGTGGGCCCACGTTAAAGAAATTCAGTCTAGAGGGAAACAGTGATGCAAACAAAAAATCTCAACATAATGGACAAATACGATAATAACTAAGTAGAAAGAAGAGTGAGAATGGGAACAAAACAACAAACTGGGTGTGACTGGGTGATGGGAAGTTAGTGTTGGAAGTTTCTAGAGAAGTAAAACTTTAGCTAAACAAGGGAGCTGCTCCTCCACGTGAACTACAGGAATTAAAAAAGGTGAAGCAGCTTGTGCCTGATACCTTTGAAAAACTTAGATCTGACTCTAGCCAAACCCACATGGCTTGAGAGGAATGACATGAAAGAGAAAGCAGGTGTCTAATCAGTAGGATCTCAAAGTGTCCTGGTGGCTATTTGGCTGGTAATTGGGTGGAAGATCGTCCACTGAGACAAGAAACTCAAAAGAAAGAGAAAATCTATGGGGAACAACACTTCTAAACTATGAGATACCTTCTCATGGCTGAATACTGATTCCAAGCATAGTGCCAAGTATCTTCATTATTTTATTTAACCCTCACAACAGTTTTATGAGATAAAATTGTACTATCATCTTCATTCTGCAGTTTGTAAAAACAAATACTGAGATTCAAGGGTTAATGACGTGACCAGTTACTAAGTCCTTTTTGCACCAGAGCTATGCTGAGTTTGAGGTACCTACAGAAATTCCATCTGGGTGTGTCCACAGGCTGGAGTGCAAGGGAGGGACAGGAAGAGATAGACTTGGGGGTTATCAGCGTATAACCCCCAAGTGGGATCAAATCTATGAGCTCAGATGAGAGGGCTCGGCGAGCTCTTAAATAGGGAGAAGGAAAGAGCACCTGAGGAACACTAACCTTAGAGTCTAGGCAAAAAGAAGAAAGGAAAGCAGCATGAGGAGGAGTCATCGGTACGGTTAATCCGTAAGAATGTTCTTCGGTGTATCTTTTCGAGAAGTCTATAGCCCAGGTGTCTGGCGGTTAATAAAAGACTTCTGGGGTCAGAAGTGGCATTCTGTCGAGGTTGGGCTTTTATACCTAATTCCTTAAGTACCAAACGACGACCTGAAACCCCCACGGAGATTTCACTACCTGGGGAGGTAAAAATGAGCAAATCCTCCTTAAAGCAGATGAAGAACTCTTTTTCCTCCAATATCACAATAGCTGTGGATATAAACGATCAGAGGTTACTGCAGAAACAGCCAACAGGTATTGGGCGAGAATCCAAGCGGCTGGCTGACTGGGACCGGGCCCAAGGGAGAGAGCGCGCCCTGACAGGCAGGCACGCATGCGCCTCCTAGGAAGGCCGGGAAGGGCACTGAAGGGTTCCTCGCGCGTCACCCAACTCTCCACCTCACTGAAGCCCCTCCTTCTCTGGCGCCCCCATAGTCTCTGCTGTTTCTCTCCTCCCAGTGGCCCCCTCAGCGACTCAGCCCTCCAGACGCCGCCGCTACCCAGCCTCCTCATTACCCTGGCGGGGGCGGAGTGCTATCCGTCACGGGGGAGGGGCCAACTATAGCTCGCGTCAGGTCCCGCCCCCGCGCGCTGACGCCCCGCCCCGCGCTCCCGACGCCCCGCCCCCTCGGCCCCGGGAGAGGCGGGCTCCGCCTGTGTGGCGTCGGGACTTTTGTCCCGCTTCACGGCGTCATCCTTCCGTCAACGAGCCCTCAGGCTTTTTCCCCTGAGGCCCTCTCCTGCCCCTCGAGAGAACGCGGCGAGTCAGGCCACGCGCGCGGGGCGCCATGAAGGCCCGCGGCTTGACGAGCGTGGCCGCTGCGGCGGCGGAAGCGCAGGCCGGTTGAGGAGGGCCCGGCGCTGGGCCGAGGCATGTGGAGCGCCGGCGGCAGCCTGCTCCAGTCGCTGCCCCGGCTTCTGCAGTACACCGCCGCCCTCCCGGGCCACGCCGAGCCGCCGCCGCCGGCCGGCTGGGCCCTGCCGCGGGCGGCAGGCGGGGACGGCCCGGCTGAGCGCCTGCCCCCGCGCGGGGGCGGAGCGAGCGCCGCGGCGGCGGCAGCGGCGCCGGGAGCCCTGCTCAGCGCCTGTCTGGAGCGCCACGCTCCGCTCGACGCCTCAGATCTGCCGGGGCCGGGCGGGGCGTTAGCGGGCGGCGCCGTGGTGGTCGACGTGGCCGAGGTGAGAAGCTGGCGCTGCTGCTGCCTCGGCAGCACCTGTTGGTGCCGGAGCCTGGTGCTGGTCTGCGTGCTGGCCGCCGTGTGCTTCGCTTCCCTGGCCCTGGTCCGCCGCTACCTGCAGCACCTCCTGCTCTGGGCCGAGAGCCTCGACTCGCTGCTGGGGGTCCTGCTCTTCGTCGTGGGCTTCATCGTGGTCTCGTTCCCCTGCGGCTGGGGCTACATCGTGCTCAACGTGGCGGCCGGCTACCTGTACGGCTTCGTGCTGGGCATGGGGCTGATGGTGGTGGGCGTCCTCATTGGCACCTTCATCGCCCACGTGGTCTGCAAACGGCTGCTCACCGCCTGGGTGGCCGCAAGGATCCAGAGCAGCGAGAAGCTCAGCGCAGTCATCCGCGTCGTGGAGGGGGGCAGCGGCCTCAAAGTGGTGGCGCTGGCCAGGCTCACCCCCATACCTTTCGGGCTGCAGAACGCAGTGTTCTCGGTAAGTGGCGTGCCGCTGGGCCGTTCTCTCTCCCGAGATTTTGGTTTGCTTTTTTTTTTTGAGCGATCTTGGGGCGTCCCTGGGAGGGCGCTCCGTCCTGTGAAATGCGGGCAGAGGAGTGACATTAACAGCAGAAGTGGAAATTACTTTCTGACGTACCCTGAGAAATTTCAAACAGATAAAGCCAATCTGTGTCGGACTCCCTCAGTAGGAGGTTTGGTAGAGAAAGAACTACTCCTTTTTTGGCATATGAGTTTGGTTAAAAATGAGCCCTCTTAACTATGAGAGGATAGGAGTAGAATCTATTTTAAACATTTGTCATCTTATTCTGTAGCAGCTGTCGCACCAGTCAGGGAGTAAATAAAGGCTGGCTTTCCCTCTAACCTGCCAAAATGCATCCAGTATTTTAGCTCAAGTTTTTAACAGTGTGGAGCTAAAGGAAGAGTTTGGGTAAATAGAGGAGAAAGTAGACTCTTATTTTGGAGTTTCCTAAAATTTTTAATAGGATTTTTTTTTCATCAAGTAATTTGCTTTTTTAATACAGTGTAATAAGGGGGGAAGCCTCCTTTTTACCTTTCTTTGGAGGAACTTCATTTTAAAATAACTTGGTAGTGGGTAAAACAAAATTGGACAGGTAATCTTTTTCCCAATTGAGAATATACTTTTTTTTTATACACCTTATACACTTTTTTTTTGGTCTTGTATTCATATGCTTTGCTTATTCAGTTAAGGTGTTTCTAACTAACGTACATCGCTTTGTAAATGATTGAGTAATGGAAACACTGCTAGTAAATGATTGAAGAATGGAACTCTGCTACTGAGGACCATCCCATGGGGAAAAAAGGGATCCAGTATTTACAGACTTAGTGTCTTCAGCGCATGCTGTATGCTAAGTCACTTCTGTCGTGTCAATGGACTGTAGTCTACCAGGTTCCTCTGTCCATGGGATTCTCCAGGCAAAAATGCTGGAGTGGGTCGCCATTCCCTTCTCCAGGGTATCTTCCTGACCCAGGGATCGAACCTGTGTCTCTTATGTCTCCTGCGTTGGCGGGCAGGTTCTTTACCACTGGCTATGTGCCCTTGCTTTCCTCTTTTTTAAGGTGAAGGGGTTAAACTACTTACTGTGTTCTTCAAATTCAGTGATTCTAAAGTTCAAAGAATTTTCATACAGATGCCCAGAAACTCAACCCTTCCACTAGACCTAAAAAAAACCTGTGTGAAGAAAGAGTTTTAGCACTCAAATCCACAGGAATCTATATATATTAGTGAACCTGACAAATTTGTTTCAAAAATTGTTATCTCTAGAAACTTTCTCATTTTGTTTTATGTTAAGAATATTTCTAACCAACCTACCCTTTTCTTTTTAAATGCCTTTTGCAAATCTCATGTTGATTCTAGCCAACTGCAGCAATGACTAGAGTGAGGCTTGTGGCGACATGGAAATAGATAAGGAGTTTTCTCCTTATCAACAGAAAGTTTGATGTTTACAGGTAGTTTAGTATGTTCTGTTCCTTAAATTCTTACCTTTTCACAGCTTCCTATAAGCTTGAATTTTGACCCAGCCTTGGCTCAAGTATCCTTAAACTTTGAAAGAGGGTTGGAACTAAGGAACCTGAATTTCTCTTAGTTTGCATCCTCTCCAGTATAGCTTATTTCCTTGTGCATTTTCTTGTCTACCAACTGTGTGCCTACTGTCCTGGACTGCTTCCACATATTATTTCTAATCTTTAAACTAGCTCTATGGAAAGTGATTATACATATATTATAGATTATTATCTAATAGTCCAGAACACAGGGCTGATGATCTGAAATTCTGCTGTCATAGAATTCACCATAGAATCTGAATCTGTTGACCCTTGGTCAAGTTGCTTATCCTCTTTATGGTTCACTTTCTTAATATGCAAAATGGGAAAGTAATGTTACCTACTTCATAGGATTATTGAGACGATTGCATAAATAAATGCTACTAAGCCTGGAATAACAACACTCTGGCTTTTGACATCATTCAGTTCAGTTCAGTTCAGTCGCTCAGTCGTGTCCAACTCTTTACGACCCCATAAATCACAGCACGCCAGGCTTCCCTATCCATCACCAACTCCCGGAGTCCACCCAAACTCATGTCCATTGAGTTGGTGATGCCATCCAACCATCTCATCCTCTGTCATCCCCTTCTCCTGCCCTCAGTCTTTCCCAGCATCGGGGTCTTTTCCAATGAGTCAGCTCTTCGCATCAGGTGGCCAAAATATTGGAGTTTCAGCTTCAACATCAGTCCTTCCAATGAACACCCAGGACTGATCTCCTTTAGGATGGACTGGTGGAATCTCCTTGAAGTCCAAGGGACTCTTAAGAGTCTTCTCCAACACCACAGTTCAAAAGCATCAATTCTTCAGTGCTCAGCTTTCTTTATAGTCCAACTATCAACATCCATGCATGACTACTGGAAAAACCATAGCCTTGACTAGACAGACCTTTGTTGACAAAGTAATGTCTCTGCTTTTTAATATGCTGTCTAGGTTGGTCATAACTTTCCTTCGAAGGAGTAAGTGTCTTTTAATTTCATGGCATCATTACTGTTGTTGTTATCCAGGATCACCTAGGTACTAAATAATGGTTTGCAGATAGAGTCTTAACCCTTGACTCCATTTCTTCATTTTATATTTTGTCCTGGGTATATAATGTGGGCTCATTATAATTTGTTAATTAAATAAGTTTTTAAAAATAATCAAATATATTAAACATGTAATTTATACTTTGTACTTGGAAGTAATTTAAGGTAATTAATTGAAAACGAACTTGACAAGAGGCAGCTCTCAGTTTGGCCTTGTAGGGTCAAGAGGAAAGAAGGAAAAAGAAAACTGACGTCTTGAAATAGGTATTATTGGCGTAGTTTAACTGAGGAGACATGGAGGCATCCAGGAGCTTGTTTAGGATCACCCAGCTACCAAGTGGTGGTGGTGGTGGCGGTTCAGTAGCTAAGTCCTGTCCGACTCTTTGTGACCCCATGGACTGCAGCGCACCAGGCTCCTCTGTCCTTCTCTGTCTCCTGGAGTTTGCTCACATTCCTGTCCCTTGAGTCAGTGATGCTCTCTAACCATATCATCTTCTCCCATCCCATTCTCCTTTTGCCTTCGATCTCTCCCAGCATCAAGGTCTTTTCCAGTGAGTTGGCTTTTCACATCAGGTGGCCAAAGTATGGAAGTTTCAGCTTCAGCATGAGTCCTGCCAGTGGATGTTCAAGGTTGATTTCCCTTAGGACTGACAGTTTGATCTCCTTGCAGTCCAGAGGACTCTCAGCAGTCTTCTCCAACACCGCAATCCAGATTCCTATGTAATGCTGTTCTTTACAGCATTGGTCTTTACTTTCACCACCAGACACATCCACAGCTGAGCATCGTTTCCACTTCAACGCTTTATTCTTTCTGGAGTTAGGAGTAATTGCCCACCTCTCTTCCCAGTAGCTTACTGGACTCCTTCCATGGCAACCCACTCCACTACTCTTGCCTGGAAAGTCCCATGGGTGGATGGGGTCGCAAAGAGCTGCGCACAGCTGACTGACTTCACTTTCTTTCTTCGCTTTCCGGCATGGGGCGCCTATCTTCCGTTACCCTATCTTTTTGCGTTTTCATACTGTTTAAGGGGTTCCTGCAGCGAAAATACTGGAGTGGTTTCTGTTTCCTCCTTCGGTGGGCCACGTTTTGTCAGAGCTCTTCACTCCAACCCGTCCAGCTTGGGCGGCCCTGCACAGCACGGCTCACGGCTTCGTTGAGTAACACAGACCCCTTTGCCTTGACAAGAGTGTGATCCTTGAAGGCTCTCGAAGGACCGAGTGGTGGAGCTGAGTTATAAACCCCAGATGATCTGAAAAAGTTCATGGTACTGTGCCAAACTCTCACTCTTGGCCTTAAGCAGTGTGGCTTGTGGAGCCATTGGATATAGTCTATTACATCTTGTTCACTTCTCTTAACTATAACTGAAACTGTTTACTGAATTCACCCAGGGTATGTGAGTGAAAAGAAAGCTTAGTTAATGCTGATTTTTGTTTTAGCTTGGCTTTCCCTCCTGCCTTCTAGAACTTCTTTCTGATTTTATCCTCTCTGCCCTCATACCCCTCTGGCTACCCAAAGCTGCCCCCTTTCCAGGCATATTTCTTTTTCTTCTTCCCTACCTATTTTTTAAAATTATCTTTCCTCCTCTCCATTCCTGTTAAAACTCATCTTCAGTGTCCATGATTGATTGAGCTTTAATCAATACCCATGATTTGGGCCTACTTCAGAGAGGAAAGGTAGTGGTCATGAGAGGCACAGGCTTTGGAAATAGTTGTTGATTAGTCTGTGCTGAGTTATGAGGCTCAAATAAGCTAATGCAGTGAAGACAGTGAGCATTTGCCTGGCACATACTCGCTTCTCAAAAATTAATAGCAATTATTATTATGGTGGAGCTAGTTTTTATATTTTAGAGGCAGGAGCTGATTGTACAAGAAGAATATATAGAAGGAAAAAGGCTCTCCCTTGTTTGCTATCTGTTCTTAACTTTCTTTCCTTCTCCCATGTGTGCTTAAAAAGGGGTGAACAAATTGACACTTCACTTTTGCAGTGGAAACTAAGTACATAACACTTTATAGTATGAATACTTAGATCATAAGAAATATAATTTCCCAGGTACATTTTAGAATCATTTCTACTTTTAAAAATGTACTCATTTTCCCTGTGGGAAATAAAGGCCCCACCTACCAACGTTTTTGATGTAGTCTTGCGTCTGTAGGTATTATTGTACATTAAAACAGATTTCTGGATGTGTTGTCTCTGTGTGTTTCTAAGTACTGTTCTTATCTGGACACATATCTAGAATGACTGTTTTTTATTGCTTCACTCAGAATAGGCTAAATTGTGCTACAACAACAACCCCCAAACCTCATTGGGTTGAAGAGCAAAGATTTGTAGAAACTTCAGCTTGTGTTATTATTTATAGTGAAGGGAGATATAATTTGTATTTTGAATTCC